TTTCCTTGGGTCCATTTATTAGGAATCCAGAATTTATCCAAAGATGTCCATAGAGTGTCTATCGAGTTGCTATTGGATCCCACTTATTTTATTTTCAATGAAGATTCAAAACATTCCTTTTAGTTAGTTATTTCAATTGCAGCTATGCTGCAAAATCTTTTTTCTCATTTTCTTAGCAGCAGGAACAATGAGCTCCATGGAATACATAGAAATCATTGTTGTTACTCTATTGTTATTTTAAATATTGGCTTCTTTTTCATGTTTTAGTAATTTCATCACTTGTTTTGAATTGTTATGCACTGCCTCGGTAATTTTCAGCACAAAGGCAGTATAGAAATACCAATACATAAATAAATTTAGGCTTGTAATGTCACTATAGCTTTTTTTACTTTAGCTTGGAGATCAATACAGTTGGCCCAAACTGCCAGGATATCTTCCAGCACATTGTTTTAAGATCAATCGAATCTACTTCCTACTATTATCTAGCTGTTCCTTTCATATTGATATTTTCATGATATTATATTCCTATCTCCTAATGGCAAAACTCTAATAATATTTGCTATGGGATGATTGTTAGCTGCAGATCATCTATAAGATTAGAATTGTGGTTGCTGTTTTTCAAGGTCAACTCATACATACATTTATCAGAGAATAGTTTATTAGTCATATTTATTACTAATATTGTAGTGCTTCTAATATGAGGATAAACAGAGATTATTCTAATATTTTCTGTCCTACTTTGTTACAGTACACTAGAAAGTGAAAGGCAATGTTAAGTCAAATTGCAAGTTTCAAAATACTGGCATATATTTTTTTCCAATAATAGATTTAAAGCAATGTTTCTGTGGTTGGATCAAATTTTAACCTTCTACATCGAAATTTGTTACAACAAATTTATCTATATGACTTTTTAAAGGACACATTGTAAATTGGCATATATTCAACAAGTAGATTTTCCCAATCATTGTTTATTTGTTTATATTATCAATTAACCAACTTTTCTACCCATCCAACCCATTAGCCTTTTCTCTGTTGATATTATCTCTTTGAGTATAATATCTGACCTGCTGATATTGTGCAACTAAAATGTATGTTTTTACATTTTAGATTTTCCTTGCAAACTAAACTGGTATAGAGTGAATATTCAAGGTACAATTATTGAGATGCACATGAAATGGGAGAAAAACCTTACTTTAAAAAGATTGCACTTCCAAATACCAAATTTTCGTTAATATAGGGCAGTCTCAGAACATATAGTAATATCTTCAAGTGCTCTGCCATAGAAAGCAATTGGAAAGTGGGCCATAAATAACAAAGGTGTATACTGACTACTATCTACCACCCAACTCCCAGATATTTGATAAAAACAATACTTTTTTACAGTAATTAAAATATTTTAATGCCTTTCTGCAGTTCAATGTGCCTGCCTATACAAACAACCACAGAACTGAAGCCAGCAAAGAAATAAACAGTGGATTCACTATAATCTCGCCTAAGAACAGGTTAAAAACAGCACAAATCTTCTCTTCTGCCATAATTGTTAGCAATTTTGCCTTTGCAGTCTAAAATCTCATCGGCATAGCCATACCTGTAGAGTGCATGTACGTTGCACACCACACAGCTTTTTTCATTTGAAAACAAAATAATAAACAATAAAGATCACTCAAGAGCTAGATTAGATTAGAGCACGGTGCTTCATTGGCCAAGAGAAAGAATTTAAAGAAAACAGTAAGCTTGCTTGCATGGCAAATGGCAGGTTCCTCCCCCCACTTCACCCCCCAAAAATGTTCAAAGTTGTTTTCAATCTGTAAACTTGGGCTCAAATGATGCTTCATCCTCTCATCACCTTCATCATTTCAGTTAATTCCCAGTGAATGGCAGAAGATACAGAACCAGGGTTTGCTGTGGCTTTAAAACACTTTTTATAGAGCCAAGGTGGTTAGAGTGTAGTACTGCAAACTATTTCAGCTGACTACTAGCTGTAGTTCAGCAGTTCAAATCTCACCAGGCTCAAAATTGACTCAGCCTTTCGTGGTTTATAAGTCTAAGTGCTATTGTTATTTTTACTCTGAAACCTAAGCATCATATAGTGATACATACATCTAATGCATTTGTTGGACCTCAGGAATGGAGGATTAGCTACATCTTGAAGAGACACTCAGCTAAAATCAAATGAAAAAGACCAAAATAACAAAGACTTCCCCCCATTTAGTTTACCAGATCAGATAAAATTGAGACTTCCAAAAGACTCACCACCAATTTTGTGGTACCCATTGCTTTTGCTAATGCTGTGATGGTCATTTGTATGATGCTCATTGATATGGATAGAAAGACATTTTGTGCAGGTTGTAGGGTTCATCTTCCAAGGTCTGTGTTTTTCTCATAGAAATAGAATATTGTTCTGACCTAGGCTTCCCAAGCGCATGAAGCAAACTCCTGGTCCTTAAAAAAACACCCTTTTATTAATTTACTGTGAATTCTGGTCATTCACATCCAGCAAAGTCTTTCAAAGAAGGATTTACAGTCATAGACTTTATCTGGCTTGGAGAGCTGACAGGCCAATATCTGCAAAACTTGGCAAGGAGTCTCGGAGTGTCACAAACCAATTAAGCGAACTACTGTAATTGTCTCTTGCAAATTCCCCTCCCCTTTCACTCCTCTTTTATTTCCTCTGGGAGGGGCAATTTATTCTCTGCCTTACTCCCAGGTTGACCCCTGTTCTTTTGCTGTTCACTTCATCTGGCAACTCTGTGCATGCGCACACTGGGAATAGGCTCCAGCTGTTTGTCTGTCTCACGGATCTGACTCTGAAGGCAGCTGATAACTGGCATATGGCTCTGGTCCCATCTCTGCCTCTGACACAGAGCCCTCATCAGAGCCTTCCCCAGACTCCAGGACTGGCCCATGTTCCTCCCCAACCTCCTCACTATTCGAATCTGCTTCCAACTCCACTGGCGGGCCACAACAAATATATTCTCTAAATAGTTAATGCAGATTGTTAACACATAAAAGGTGTGTCACAATTGTTACTGCATAAACTGTTGGCATTCAGACAAATTAATTTGGTTAGCAACCAGACTTGGGATAAACATTTTAAGCAACAACCCAAGGGCCAGTTCCTATAAAACAACTGGTTTGGTATTCAGGTGCAGCTCTGATTTAATTCCACCAGAAAAAACTTGTAGCTATCTTTTATCTCAAATCAAAGTTGGGTGTAATTTGTGTTTCTTGATCCTGTTGTTGCAGGGTATCATCATAGATTTGGTATCAATGAAAAATTCCTTTCATTATACCATTCTTCTGCTTATGCATTGAAATCTCAATTGTAAAAGCATATTTGCATAAAAGCATACTCTACTTAAGCTCTCTGTCAGTTGGGGAGAAATACTCCCATACATTTTTCTTTAATCCTTCTATAATATCTGTGAAATGGTTCAGAAGACATATACAATTTAATGCAGGCAATCTTAATAATAGCAACTGGAACATAAATTTCTATTGCTGAACAATATGCTTGCAAAATGCAATGCTTAGTGACTGTAGTTCAGGCAGTTCCCGGTTATCATCATTAAGGTCATTAAGTGAGGACCTCATGAAATCACATCTTCTGACTTCTTGTCAGCTTCTTCATCAACCAATCTTGCTTGTGAGAAGCCAGCAAGAAAGCTTGCAAATAGTGGTCATGTGATTTTGGTATGTGGGGACAGTTGAAAATCTGGGTTTGTTGCCGATCATTAAGATTATAGTCATGTGACTGTTGGGGGAACTTCACTGATAAGACATAAATACCACTCATTAAACACTCATAGGTCTGAATGATAGCTGAGTAAGTAGTTGTTAAACAAGGATCACCTGTATACATATTTGAATGAATGTCTCATTATTTAAAATTATTACAGAATTGTTCTTTAGAGATGGAAAGAATGCATACTTTAATCTTCTCCACCAAGCAGGACGTATGCCTACTTTTAATTCAGAGTTAACCTTACACAGAATGAGCAACATCCAGTGGCAAAAATTAATGTTGAACAGTGGGCCAGAGTGCACCATCTGGGCTCTAATTTCAACATAATTACGATACCCTTGGCAAATCAGCTCTCTTAATCTAATCTACAATGCAATTTAATTATTTTAATCTACAATACAATTAAAGCCTATTTTTTTTCATGGTTAGTCACTCGAGAGATGAGCACATGACTCTCTAAAAATATTTTTCTTGCTCCAGGACCTACACATTCAAAGTCTGTCCCTTCACAGCTATTACTTTTACCAGCCAGGATATAATCCCAAGAGTTACTTCAGTTTTTTAAACTTTTCTCACACATTCCCAGTCACAGGGGCCATTTACTTCAGTGGATTAAAAGAAAATGGAGGGGAAAAAAGAACAGAAATATTGCCGGCGGAGTCACTGAGGAAAAGATTGGGGTTTATGTCTCTGGTTTAAGAACAATCTGCTCGTAGCATGTCTACATCATAGAATTGCATGCATATGAATGGATCAGATGGTGCTAATCTTATCAAATGTTTGTGAGTTGGAGTCTGAATTTTTTTCCCCCCATCAGGCTAGGTAACATCTTTAGTGGATGATGATGTTACCTAGCCTTGTAATGAAACATTCAGAAACCAGCCCACGAAGCTCAGAGAACAAAATTCTACCTTCTTCCTACACTCGAGCTAGAGATATTCACCACTATTGCAAATCTATCAAATTTACAGAGCATCAATAGCAGCTGTAAGAGTAATGTAAAACAAACTCTTTCAATTATTCACTGATTCACCTAATTCTGCATTTGGGCAACATTTTCATGCCTATTAATATGATTAGCTGTATTTAATTACAAATATTTTTTTTTCAAGATGTCCCAGTATCTCAAATCAGCCCAGATAATTTCTAAGAACATTAAGCTGCTTCAATACAGATCCCCCCCCCTCTTTCCCTAACCATAATAAAAAATTCCCTTAATTCAATTAGCTGATTTGGATTTGTTTTTCTTTTGCAGCTTCCTCCACCAAGACGAGCTACGTCAGCTATAGCAATCATGCAAACTGAATGGTGAAACCAATCATACCTGAAGACTCACAATATGTGAACTGAAGAACAACGTTGACCATCACATCAAGAGAACTCAGCCTCTGAAATGTCTCTAGAAAACAGACTAAGCTGTAAAAGGACAAAGATTGACCATGTGGCCATAGCAGGAGGCATGCGTGGGTTGGGGGAAAAATGGCCCAGAATTATATATTATGATTGCCTGTCAAATGTCTGAACTGTTTACTCATGAAAAAAGGTGAATCACAAAAGGAAAACAAAATGTTAGCTTGTGAAAAAAAATTCTGTTGAAATAAAACCATGTCTGATGTTATACTTGTAAGTACTTTTTTGTGATTGTGAGAAATTCCATTCCTGTTCCACACTTGTTCAACTTGTATAAGAAGATGAAGTTTGTTTCTTGTGATGGCTGACTGAATTGAAACCCTGCGTTGTGCTAATGATAAATGCAATGGTTGACGCATGCACATTTTTATACTAAATAATTTATTTCTATTAATAAAGGAATGTTTTGCAAATGTTGAGACTTGTTTCGTTGCCATTTTGAGGGATTTGCTGAAAGGCGGGTTTTTATTCTGGACAAGCAATAAAAATTATGTTGCACACCAAGAACCTGAACTTAAGACAGGGGTGTCAAACTCAAGACTCGTGTGCGGGATCTGACGCAGAGGTGGGTTGCTACCAGTCCACACAAGTTGGGGCAAACCGTAGTGGAAATTGGGTAGTGGAAAGCGTGCGCAAAGTGAACTTGCAGTAATGCCGGCAGCAACCCACCTCTGATCTGGATCACAGGATACTTAAATCTGGACCAAGGGGATGACCTGGAAATAACAAAAGACTGGCCCACGGTGCCTTTGGTGGCCAAAACAGGGCATGGGGGATGTATGCTCCCATACCCCATTTTCAGCCTGGATGGCCTCCTGTAGCATTCTTCACGAAGCCATCCAGGTTGAAAATGGGCTGTAGGGAGCTGTGTGCCCCCTCCATGCCTCGCTTTGGCTGGCAGGATGTTGCAGGAGGCATTCATCCCATCACCACCATCCCCGCCGACCCGCAGAGGAGATCTACAATGCTGATTCAGCCCTCAAAGAAATCCAGTTTGACACCCATGACAGAGATTGGGAAAATGTTATTTTAGGCACAATATGGATAATAATTATAGAATATCTGTATCAGTCAGGCCCATTTGATTTCATATTGCAGATTCAAAGATCACAGAGGGCATGATTCAATTCAGATTTGTGTTTTCACGTTTGTGGCCAAACCGATTTAATTTCTGCCACTTTAAGATTTGATTTGGGGAAAAAAAGTTTTATCTGTAGGCTTTCCTATAATAGGGAAATATAAAAAAGCATGACCTTTTTTTGGCAGAATAGGATGAAAATAGCATGGCTGATAGACTTTTTCAGAGAACATTAACTGTGCTAAAGTTCAAGTTCACAGCAATATATTTTTGAAATATTCCCCTGTGCCTATTTTAAGGCAGAGACAGCGGATTGAGGAACAGACAGCATAGCAGCCTGCTCACTGTTCAGAGTTCACTGACCTTAAAGTGTCTTTTTACTGCAACTTAAAAATGATAAAAAAAACATCAAAAAGTATTTGAGAAGTCAGAGGTTTTTTTTTTTTTCAATTTCATTTTTCTTCCTGGTGGATATGGATAAATGCCAGACTTGTAAAGTCCACTGCCCTGAGATTATACTTTTTTTTCTTTCTTGAATCACTGGATTTTCTGGAATATCAGAAAGTTGATGTCAGGTTGGAAAAGTGTGTTCCTCCTCAATTAGACCACTTCATCAACCATTTGTTGATCAGAACACACTGGAAAAACTCACCCTCTTTTTGCCAGAATTCAGACTGTCCTGTCTCTGATGTGTTAGCAAGACTGTATGATAGATGGTTAATTAGCACTCACATCAGAATACACAGTAAGATGCAATAGCAGGTTACACAATTTTGGTTTCCTTGTCATTCCACATTCTTAAAATGGTGAGCATTTGGTCCACTGTGTATCAATGTTAGCTCGATATACACACATTCATCACTGGGACACATACATCTTTCTTGGGGTGCCAAATTTGAAAACAAGTTTGATACAAGAGTCTACTAGATTAATCAGACTTGAGCATCTTTTCAAAGAGGGATGAGTTGAATACTCACCTGTGTGTTGTGTTGTATTGGCATATTCATTCCATTTCCAAGAGCTCTCTTGGAAGAAAAAGCAAATTAAGATTTGTTGCTGGTTGCTTTACAGAAGTAACAGTATAGAAATGAACAAAGTTGAGACAGTGTGAACCTTATTATTTCAAGAGAGTTCAGTTATATAGAAAGTTTAATGAACTGATCAACATAAAGAAACAAGAACAAAAAATGATTACAGGACTCAGAAACATTCCCTACAAGGCAGTGGTGGGTTCCTGCCACCATTACTACCGGTTCAGTTCCCGAACAATTTGGCGCACACGCACTCCCCTTGTGCACATGCCAAATGCATGATCCGTGACCGTACACATTTGTACTAAAATGATCTGCACATGTGCGCAACATTTAAAAAGGGGAAAATAACATTTTTTTCAATTAAGATTGTTCTGCACATGTACAAAACAAAAAAAAATCAAGATGGAACCACTGAGGACAGAACTGGTATGGTTATGTGTCTGCCAGAGTCTACCTATTTGGCCAAACTGTACCGTACCGGTAGGAACGCATCTCTGCTACAAAGGTAAGGCGTGTATGTTTTGCAGCTCATTCATTTGTTTAAAAAAAGTGAGAAGTGGATGTGATTTGTATATTAGAGACAGTCTTTATTTCTCTTTCCAAACACACAGAGCCCACCCAGTAAAGCTATTTGAGAGATTTAGACAGACAAAATAAAATTCTTCAAAGGCTGTGAAAGACATGGTGATTTTAAAAAAATTAAGACTGAAGAAGTAAAGAAGTGATTCATCTAGAGATATTGGTATTGAAAAACTCAATGTTATCTCTGAATAGGGGAACACATGTATCCAAACACCACATATAAGAGAACAACTATACAGGAAATTTTCATCCTTGCAACATAAGCATCACAAACTATGATAAGATGAGCCTTGGTCTGATCTTGAAAGGCTGTTCTGATATTTTGACAAATTGTTACAGACCCCATCACAAAATTGTTCATATGTGGAAGTAAGACTATAAGTTGCATACTTTTAAAAACAACACTAGAAGCAGCAAATTCATTACATGGACATTGGTCTTATGAACATGATTTCAGTGTATGATTCAATAGTAGCCCTACTCAATCCCTCGGAATCTTTGCACATCCTAACCTAAATGTACTGTATACATTTCAGTCCAGGACCAGATCACTAAGCTCCACTTCTTTGATAGTTCTGGATTAAAGAATGATAAAAGTAAGGGGATGGTGCTCATCTCTGTTTCAAAGCCAAAGAGCCAGCACTGTCCGAAGATGTATCCATGGTCATGTGGCCGGCATGATTAGATGCCGAAGGCACAGAGAATGCTGTTACTTTCCCACCTATTTTTCTACTTGCATTTTTACATGCTTTTGAACTTCTAGGCTGGCAGAAGCTAGGACAAGTAATGGGAGCTCACTCTTTTACATGGCATTAAGGATCCAAACCACTGAACTGCCAATCTTTATGATCGATAAGCTCAGCATCTTACCCACTGAGCTACTATGTCCTAAAACTGTAAAATTTGAAAGTGATAGAAGAAGGATAAAGATGCTTGCCTGCAACCAGGAAGTGAGAAAAGTGAATTGCTTTCATTTCATCAAATTAAAACTCTATATAAGCATTGGAAGTAATGCTGGAGTTGGAAACTTTACTATAGTCTTTGACTAGAATTTACATTTAGGTCAAAGACTTGTCCAGTGTCAGAATCCTCTACTGCATCTTCCTCAACTTATGACCTTGATCTATTTAAACACATCCAATGAAGAAGACTTCTCCATCCTCTTCATTAGGAATTTAGGGTAAGATCAATTTCAAAATTGTTATGAATTAAAAGAAACCACTGTTTTTGCAATTGCTGGTCAATAATAATATCCGGAGCTACACTGATTTAATAAAAGTTTGTGTGTCTCATTGCAAATGTATTATATTCAATCCTATTTTGTTATTTTGCAATAATGTTTGATTTATTTATTAAATTTATTGATCTTTTATTAAGTCAGGGCAGTTCACAATATTAAAAATATAAAATATTACAAAGCCTTTAGACAATATGAGCTAGATAATATAAAAAGATAAATAATGATGACAGGTGGCTGCTTAGAAGAAAATACTTTTTTTTTTGGCATATGAACTGTATATCTGGATCCAAATTCATGGACGAGGCTAGTGTCAGGGTTCCAACAGCCCATAGGAAATCAAAACTCCAAGGCAGGGTTCCTCAAAGTATAGATTTATTAGGCATGTCACATTGGCACAGCTGGTGAAAACCTGAATCTGAAGTCCCCCGGGTTTTCCCCACCCAGTTCAAATCCAAAGTTCTTCTCCACATTACACACAACCATCCCAGGCCCCAATCATGTCTCTTTCCCCATCTCAGATGCTTCCCATCCATGCTTCTCCAGGTGCTGGTGAGAGTGTCCTTGGTTCCCAGGAGAAAGAATGTTCTTTTGACTATGTACCTCTACTGACAGCTATCTCTACTTTCCCGCAGCTGCAACGAGCCTCGCTGTGGCAATCCAGAAGATGCTTAAAGATGGCTCCATGGTTGTCAGCTAGTGCAGGTATCCTGTTAATTCACAGTACATTATTAGTCTATCTTCTAAGAATATAAGTAGTTTAAGTCTCTGGCTCCTAGATTAAGTAGAGACCTAGACCCAAGCCTTCTTGATCTTCTGCCAGACACTAGTCATGATGTGAATTCAAATCAGGAAAAGGTAACCTATAATCCAAATGATATAAGCCCACCAATTCCCTTTTAACAGCTCCTTGACTTTCCTCTGTGCTCCAGGTTCAAGATGCGATTGCCTGCAGAAGTTTCCTTTTCCCTACGTTAGAATAAAATATACTAGTTTTAATAACAGTTTAAACATGGGAGACAATGTCACACACCTGTCCCCCCAAAAAAATCCCAATTCTGCCTACTAAAATGCACCCAATAAAGAAGAATATGTGGTATAGCCACCCTCACTTTGTATCTCTTTATTGATTGATTGATTGATTGATTGATTGATTATCTTCAGGAGTTCTAGCGTATGATCAAATTAACTCTAATAATTTAGGAATACGAATCTTGCCAC